AGGCTGAAACGACACAGGGCCTGGAGGGCCCTTATTTTCCGTCTGGTCGTGCCCTGCAGGCCCGTGTGGATGCGCAGTATGCCACACTTGCTGAGCTCAGGTACTGAGGACTGAGGACTGAGGACTTACTGGGAGGGTCCTGTGGACTGAAAACGGAGGAGGTAAGCGAACATGCATTGTTTCAATTTGTTTGTGAATCTTGTGGCACTTCTGCCTCAGCTCCGAAAACACATTGCGCTGAAAGCAACCGAGTGGGCGAGTGACTGGGCCAGGGAGTAACACAACTTAGAAAGGAGGGAGGGAAGGAGGGAGGGAAGGAGGGAGGGAAGGACGGAAGGAGGGAAGGAGGGAAGGAGGGAACGCTAACGAATGGAATGAAATGAACAAATTTACAAATTAATAAACGAGGGAAATGAAATAGCTGAAGAGGGGGACGTGTGTGTTTACTTTGTCATGTCTTTCACTTGGCAGTGGAAAAGGAGCCAGACTGACCTGGGGCGAGGCTCCACGAACAAAGTGGATCGGATTGCGCGCCTGAATCTAGACGTGTTTTTGGAGAGGTGCAGAAAATGGGGATTGATCACCCATCTTGATTCAGGCGCTTAATCCAATCCTTGAATCCTCTTTGCCCGTGCGACCTGGCCCCTGGAATAGAGCAGACCCAAGGCTGGGTCGGCTCTTGTTTTTCATTATGCAATCAGACTCGCTTTCTTCTTTGCTTCACATACATGCAAACAGATGGCGATTCACACTGCCGCTCAGCGCCCACTCAAACTCAGAGATATGGAACTCGAGAACACAGTTCAGGTGCAAACCCACTTCAACGGGCTATGGCGCATCAGCGCCTATACAACCCAACCCTCGACACCGTCTCCAACACCACTGTTCGCACACACTCAACTCTGGCTCACCCTGAATACTCCACACACTTCCCTCTCTTACACACACACACACACTAACGCCTAACTTCATCCTACAGCGGCTATGGCCGCTCTACTAACACTGACTATGGCTACATAGTCTCACTTCAGCCCACTTCGACTTCGGGCGATATGCAGACCACCGCGCACAAGACGCTGTAGCAGCACTTCCGCATGGCTTATTGCTGTACACTGCCTCTTGATTTATACTTCTGTCGGTCGCTGGTCTGCCCCTCCTCCAGGCCCTCAGTGCACACAGTCCCACACGGTACTTGCTTGACTGGACTGTGACTGACTGGGACCGGTACCGCTGACTGCACGTGGTTGCACTGCCGACTCGACGCAGTTGGACTCACGACTTGCCTACGGACCTCTAGCCTAGCAGTTTCGAACTTTCGACCTCTACACAACTGTAACCTCTACTTGACAGATCTACAGATCGAATCCCTACGTCTACAGGGACCCACGGCAAAGAACAGTTACTGCTAAAACACAGGTTGGGGGCTCAAAACACACAGGGGTCTACTCGATCCTGTACACGGGTGCAGGTAAGGTCTAGGGATCGAACCCTGGGATCTGCATCAGCTTCTGTAAAGGTGAAAACCGTTTCAATTATAAGGGGGGGGGGGGGGGACGATGAAGAAGAAATAGCTGAAGAAAAGGAAATGAACGGCGTCCACGACACAGCATTAGAGGAATGAACGAAATGATAGGATGCAGGAGTTTTTTTTTTTTTTAAAGATAAGATGGAAGAGTTGGTTGATGGATGTGCTTGCTGTCTTGCTTACCAATGGTTGCAAAGCAGGAGCTGGAGGAGCGTGGTGGCTCACACGGTCTTTTTCGGCATGAGGTCCTGTGTCGAACGTTGGCTGACAATAACTGTGACCTTCTGACCATCACATCCATGAATGGAAGTGATGACGTCATCACGAAACGCAAAGGTGTTGTCATCACAGGGAGGGTGCACCCGGGAGAGACAAATGCTAGCTGGATGATGAAGGGTGTAATTGATTTCTTGACTGGAAATAGCCTCGACGCCAAGATCCTCAGGGACAACTTCGTCTTCAAGGTGGGCACATTATCCGGAAACGTATGCAAGCATATAAATAATTAAAATAAATATATGTATTATCATACTATTATGTATAAAATATTAAAATGTTGAAGTCAAAAAAAAAACAATGGCGAAACAGTCAGTCACGGCCCCCTGGTTTGTTGTCCTCATCTCCCTCTCTGCCTATCGTCCATCACGCAGTTCTGTATGACGATATATATCGTCAAACAGAACTGCCTCGCAAACAGTAGGCAGAGAGAGAGAGGAGGACAACAAAAGAAGGGCTGTGACAGACTGTTCGTTGGAGTTTCACTGACGATTTATGTTTTACGATATATTATATTTTTATTTTTAATCTTTTTTTTTTTTTTTTTTTTTTTGGGAGTCGAACTCAGGTCTGTATTTCATCAACAGTTCAGTGGTGTACCAACTGAGGTAGGCCTATATATTTTCATAAAATTTCATTAGATTATAATCATTATATATAAATATATATTATCCCTGTTAGGGTTTAATACGCCAGTTTATAGTATTTTGAAGTTTACTAGTTGACAATTCAAATTTCAAAACTTCAAAGTTCAAAGTTTAAACTCAAGGATGGTCTGGGCCCACTTGCCTGGTGGGCCCACCTGGGTCCAGGCAGGCTGGATCGACCTGCCGGGGTCACCCGGGCAAGCAAAGCGACGAGTTAAAGAAAGTGAAAAAGAAAAATCATGGTGCCCACTGCCTTGGAGTACCAGCTTGGCCGCCTGGCCCAGGTCCAGTCAAGGTCCCAGACAGCTCCCGTAAAAGTGAAAAAAAAAAAAAAAACAAGAATTTTGTTTTTAAAAAAATATATGAAAAAAGAGATGGTGTGCCAAATTGGAAATCAAGCAACTTTTGGTTGCGGGTCACCCTGAAATTTGTTAGTTTTCGTTGATGAGGTCACGAGGCGGCCTCGCAGTACGCTGTACATACCACATACTACATATAGACTTTTTTCTGCGAGTGATCGCGAAGCCTTCTCCTTTGGATCTTTCTTTTTGTGATAGTCCTCTCCCCTTGTACGCAGTTTGGGCTTTTCCGTACAGCACTGACCGTGCACATCTTTTATTTGCATAAATAAATAGTTCCTGTGGGGCGTCCTCTCGAGGCTGCTGACCGCAGTTAGCTTGCCCTGAATGCGTTATGTACCCGAGGACTGCTCTGCTTTCGTTCTCTAGGTGTCGTGGTGGTATGGGAAGCGGGCAGGCCGTGGTAGGGGGGGTTAAGAGCAGGATGCCTTCGGTGGTGTTGGTAGTATATGGCCCGTGGGGGCGGAGTGGGTATTGTGAGGTCCAGTATGGAAGGAGCAGTCTTTGTCTGGTTTTCGCCCCTGTTACGGTCTGATACACGGTCGATCCCCCTTGCTTAGAGAACCCTTTTATTGATGTGACGGACAGCGGACCCGTTTTCCAGCTTGCATAATCAAAGGCAACGATGGTATGAACCTGGTTGGGCCCCTGTTACGGTCTGATACATGGTCAATCCCCCTTGCTCAGAGAATCACTGTTATTGATGTGAGGGACGACGGACTCGTTTTCCGGCTTGTATAATCAAAGGCAACCGATGAACCTGGCTGGAGTGCCTGAATCATATCGCGATGGTTGCCCCCTTAAAATAAATAAATATATATATATTAATGAAATTTGAAATCAAGAAAAAGAAAACAAAACAGAAAAAAATCATCTCACTGATTCCTACACAACTTTAAGCCCCTTTCAACACCGTTTATACGGTGTTATACGGTGTTATACCCCGTAGACCCCCTTTGGTGAGACGTCACCAGATTCAAAGATAAGGCTGGATTTGGCACAATGTCATCTCAGTGGGTGCCAAAAAGGCCCACCATTGCTTTGGGGAAAAAAAAAAATTTGAGCCCCCTTTTCCTGTCACGCATACCCCCCGGGCAGGTCCCCCCTTCCAGGCAGGTTCACCTGGCTGGGTGGGCTGAGACGGGCAGCTCTGGTAGCCTAGGTGGTGCTACATCTCTGCGCCCATTGAGATGTAGCTTTATCTTTGAATTTGGTGATGTTTCAGCCCAGGAGGTTTGTTGGGTATAAACAGGGAACAGGGCTTAAAGGGTCTCGAAGGAGTGCAAAGGGGTGTGAGATGATTTACTTTATATATATATATAGCCTCCTGATGAGTCGGTGAAACTCCGACGAAACAGTTTGTCACAGCCCCTTGTTTGTTGTCCTCTTCTCCCTCTCTGCCTACGGTTTACCGGGCAGTTCTATTTGACGATATATTCAGCCTCCTGATGAGTCGGTGAAACTCCGACGAAACAGTTTGTCACAGCCCCTCGTTTGTTGTCTCCTATATATATATATATACAACTTCGCTAGCTTCCTGCTACGGTTTTTTCCGGTCAGGTCGAGCGGCAGTGGTCGGGGCCGTTACTAGGCGGCCATGCTGTGCCTCTAGT